CCCCCACTAGCAATGAATAGAGGTTTTTCTTTCCTCATATCCTTGCCAAGATTCTTCATGATTGCCATTTTTACTGAGATGAGATGGTGTAGACCCTCAGCTGAGGTTACACTTTTATGAGACATTACAATAATGGAGGTTAGATGATGTGACTCTTTACTTTGAATGCCAGTGCTTCTCTTCTGGTGCAATGCCCACACGCCTGCTCTGCTGCACTTGCCTTTCCAGGCAAAATGAATTCAGCCTCTGGCTTGTGTTTTCTGCAGCATAGGGTTCTCTCTCCAACTCTCTGGGCACTTGTATAAGGGTATATGGTGTCCTGACATGTACTTCATTGGCAAAGCTCAGTTCAAGGCAACTACACCATTTTCTTTATTGAGTCCATTTCACGGGAGGTCACTTAATTGCATTTTTTTGCTACATATATTTTTTTCTTTCCAATGTTTCTTATTGGGTTATTCTCCCTGTTTATTTCTTTTTGTTTTTTTTTCTGCTTCATTCTATATTGTTCTTCTAGATTACTATTGGATGGACATTTATTTTTGGTTGTGAGCCTAACCTTTAACGGCTGAGTCATCTCTCCAGCCCTGGATGGACATTTAGATTTCTGTCTCATGTCTTAAAATTGGAGTTTGGAGTGTCTCTCTTAAACCAGGGAGAATTTTCTCTCACTATACTTGACAGCTTCCACATTGTTCTGGGTGTTTGGTTTCCCAGTCTAGAGAACAAGGTCCTTGCCTTGTATTGATATTATTGATTTTGTAAGTTTTGATCCTTTCAGGGATGCATATTTTATTAACAATTTAAGTCCTGGCTATAGGTTATTTTTCCCCAATGTACTATCTGCTTACTTTTATCTCTACTACAATTTTTAACAGAAGCATAACATTTCAATGAAGCTTATTTCAATTTTATTCAGTCTCATAAAAGTATGGCTTTAACTATAGTGTCCACATCCAAAAGATGTACATAGAACTGTTCTATAATATTTTTATGTTCTGGTTTCTGAGAAGGTGAAATACTTTTTTATTCCTCTGCCTTCCTTTAGGAGCTGATGGCACCCAGGCTTATTCTTTATCTTTCTTGAAGATTCTGGATACTTCATGTAGTGTGCTCCAAGTGAGGACTTTAAGACTAAGATGTAAATGGGATATTTCCTTCTGAAAATGTGGAGAACACTAGCTACAAAATGTGATGTTAACTTGTGCAAGGGAATGAAATGAATTAGAGATAGAAGAGAGCTACTTACCACAGTGAAACCATAGCACAATCCCGAGAGAAATAGTTGGTAAACAATGGCAAAAACAGTACTTCTATTTACTCCAGAAAAATGAGACTTTCTAGATCTATGCTAAGTTAGCGTTGAAGACTTTCTAGGGTTTTGAAGTGCTTTTTTCCCCCCACTGAACCATTTCTGGCTCTCGTGTATGGGACAACACTGCATTCTTACCGGGCTAGAGAAGGTTCGCATAGCGGCTGGTAGGGATTGTCGTGCATAGCAATATAGACACTGGGGGTAGGCAAAGGCATAAAAAGGACCTGAAAAACTTCTTTTTCTAGGCATCTGCAGTGTCAACCATGGAGAATCTTCGTCTCTATGACTTTGACTACTTCAATGATCTCTTATAAGTAGAAACATACAGGATTTTTACTTCTGGTTGACTTTTCTTATCTAGTCTAGTGCCTTTCAGGATTAAAAAATATTTATTTTATTTTTGAGAATATAATATAATTACATTATTCCCCCTTCCTTTCATCCCTCCAAACCCTCCTGTATATCCTTGCTTGCTCTCTTTCAAATTGATAGCCTCTTTTTCATTGTTGTTATATGCATATATTCCTAAAGATAACTTGCTCAGTCTGTATAATGTTATTTCTATATATTTCTTCAGGACTGACCATTTGGTATTGGGTAATCAATTGGTGTGCTCTTTGCTGGGAAAGACTATTTTTCCCTCTCTCAGCATTCCTTAGTGGCCTGTAGTTCTTTGTGTATGGTAAAACAACTCCTGCAACTAAGGATCTGTAAGGGGGTGGTGGTGGTGGAAAGACTAAGAGCCAGAGGATCAGGGAGTTTGCTGTGAGCCTGTATCTGCTAGGAATGTCAAAAACTACACCCTTAAGACCTAAACATGAATGGTATAGGGATAACAAAAATAGACATGCTAAAGTGGATGGGGGAAAGTCTATGAGGCCTTCCATATTTATCTATGTTGTTCAAAATGACAATTTCCTTCTTATTTTTTAAAGCAGGAGGATATTTCAATGTGATGTTAACATTGAAACTGTACCACTTGGATACACTGACATTCATGCTTCAGGATACAGTACTAATTTATAGGTTGGTAGTTCATCTTGTGTTAGAATCTCTGGCATAGGAAGCAACAGACAGACACCATAGACATCTCTCTAGATACTTGTACATTGCAGGTATGTAAGGGCTATCTAATAGAGAGGAGTTTAGGCATTTAATGGACTGGGGATTTACATTTTGTAAAAACCTAAATCTAATAAAATCATCGGAGTGCTAAGTAGACCTGGATTTTGGAAGCAATATCTATTGTTCTCAGCAACGTTGTATTTAATCATTCTTACTTTGAGATAGAAAAGAGCCCAAGATTGAGCAATATCTAGAGAATAAAACAGGGGGTAGGAGGTTCTTCAGAAGGCTCAAACTTTTACATGTATTTTTCAATATCATCTGGCAGATGCTTTGGATGAATAGGCATATATTGCAAATTAATGATATTAGCAACAGTTTTGGAAAACCAAGAAGAAGGTTGCAGATTTGACCAACAGGCTTCTAAAATGATGTCATCCCATAGAGAACTATTTTGCAGAAAAGACGTTTGTTGCATGCTTGTGGGCTCTATAAAGATCCAATACTGAACACCACAAGAAACAAGGGACTGTGTGCACATACTGTTCATCATGAGCTTCATAGGCAGAGCTACAAATTATAAATTTGATAGGAAAAACATTAACTCATCATATAGTGGAAATGGTGCAGTAGAGATTAAACTCAACCTGGGCTTTAAGCTACCGAAAATTAAAGAAAAAAAGAATATTTTCAGATGAGAAAGAAGTTTAAATGGTAGTTTTGTCCTTAAGTAAATATAGTTCCAAAATGAAAATAGAAAGGAATTAGGACCAAGCCAGAAAAAGAAATATATATATATATATATATATATATATATATATATATATATATATGATAATGTTTACTAAAATTGAAGACTATTAATTTCTTCTTAATGTAAAATATTAATAGATGTTTACTTCACAGCTAGTCTGCTTCAAACATTAAGAAAAAGCTAAAAAGCATACTTTGAGGATACTAGACAATTCAAATTACACTTTAAATGTGACTTTCTGAGTTTTTTACAGCAGATACAGAATTGAAGCAAAGGCTCAGGGAAATGATTACAGACACAGAACAAGACTAACTGATAACCTTACACCTGGGAAATAGCAAATATCTTCAGAATGATAATAATCTGCCACAACCAGGCCAAAGAGAGGGTTGTACAGGGACAATGTCTAATGCAGGTGTTAAAAACCAGTATACCAGGAAAGAGTACCTTGAGGAAGTGCACTCTAAAAGGAATCCCAATTGTCCCCTCTGCAGAGATGTAAATCTTTATAGAAGACAATGCCGTGCCTTCAGAAGGAAGTAAGGCTTCAGTGCCCATATTTGACACATGCATTTGGTGTTAGTGTCCTAATAACATCTTAGATAATCTTTTTGAACAACTTTCTTTCCCTTTCCAGAATTCGGGTCCTCATCTAGGATTACTGGCCTGGAGGACATGTTTCATTTTCTTGTCTAGATACACACAGTCTGTTCTGATTCTGATCCTTCTTGTAGCATCTTCTTTCGCCCTTCCACTTACTCATGCTCGGTACCAGACATATGCTACCTTTTCATGCTTTGGGTTCTTGATCTGCTTTTCCATCTTCTAGAATTTGCTTCACCTACTTTGTTACCCTTACTCATGTCTCAGTTCTACCAAAAAGAAGTAGTGAGGCCTCTCAGAGGAAGCACCTAAGGGATCTTTGCCTTCATTTGTGGCCAGCCACATTTGCTGTGCCTGAGGACACATAGCAAAGGTGTATCCAGTGAGAGTGCTCCAGACAGTCACAGCTTCTTGCTTATAACGGGTTGAGAAGAAACAACAGAATATCACACAATGCTGTAGTTCATGGCAAGGACTACAGACTGTCCCAGCTCCCTGGTTTCAAATCACTCCCATCTCTTGGAATCTGAAGGTAGAGTTCCTGCAGGGCAATAGGATGGAGAAAAGCCAAGCAATATAGAGCTTGGCGTCCTGCCCTGGCTCTCCTTCTTATTTGTTGAGTCTTTGGACCACCAGAGTCATCACCTTTCTACTCTGAGAGAGTTAGAAGGGGCTGCAGCTGGGGTTTGGCCATCATTCTCACATCTTCTCTTCTCTAGTTCTTCTTTCTTTGAAAGTTTTTTTTTGTTGTTGTTGTTGTGTGTTTGTATGATTTGTGTTTATGGGTGAGCATGCTGGCCACTGTGCCATGGAATGCTTATGAAGAACAAAGGACAGTATCAAGTGTTGGTCCTTGACGTCTACCAGTTTAAGAGAACATCCACAGTGGTTCCCCACTTCACACACCCAGCTAGTTTGTTCAAGAACTTCTGGGGATACTTCTATCTCTGGCTCCTGTCTCACTGTAGAAGCACTGGGATCACAAACGTGTGCTACCATTTCTGGCTTTATATGGGTTCTTAGGATTCAAAGCCAGGACCTCACACCTATGTGGCAAGCACATTACACACTGAGGTAACACTCCAGTCCTTCTTTTCCTTTTTATGTCAGCGCATCGTAAGAACTCATAAAAATCTCAATAATGGTTTGTTGAGAGAATAATGTAAGAAATTTGGGGTACTTTGCTGACTTTGACGAGGATTTTGGTGGCAAGACACAGTAATACATGGAGAAGCTTATAAGAATTTTATTTAACCACGGTCATGGATATTCCGGTCAATTTTACTTAGAGAAAAATTACTTTGGCTTTCAGAGACATAAAAAGCTTCCATTAGATCACGGACACAGTGCGAAAAGTGTGATACCTGTCTCCATTGATGGGCACCACTGCCACATCGTTAGGGCAGATGTTTTTATCCTTAGTAATTTCAACCACTATTGCAAAATTGACAGTTTCTGGAAGAGATGAAGACAAAGACAATCTCTCAGACACTTTAAGGTCCTCCTTTTTTCCTGCCAGGACCAGGTAACTGCCTCCTGGCATTTAGCTTCCTCAAATCATTTGCAAATCAATATCCTATTTAGTCTTTCTTCCCAAAGCTTTCTACAGCTTTAGAATGCGGGAATTGTCCTCATGGGCTTCCTTTCCACCCTCCACCTTGCCTTTCTATTCTTCCACATGGAAGTTCTGAAGCCATACTTGTTCTAATGTTTTCTCTTTGGCAGGTAGTTCTTCTTACTTACCGTGGACTGGAAAGTCCCAGTAGAATGTTACTCTATAATCATTACAGAGGCAGCGGGTTTGGTTAAAACTGAAGTTACCTTCCATTGGGGTAGGACTTACAAGGTAAGCTTTGACCTGGTGGGGAGAGATGGCCTACTGTTAGTCCAGAAAATGGGAAGAAGAGGACAATACAAGAGAGGAAATAGCTGAGATAGATTAGTGGCACATAGACTTTATATTCATCATTGTATTATCATTCCACAGGCTTTCCCTCTTCATACCTGTGGACTCATGCCTGAGAAGTCTGAGTATAAGATTCAGAAGGATGTAAGTGAATCCACCAGGCAATGAGATTAAGCCTACTGTGGCTATCTCCTGGGGGAAGGTTTGCTTTTGGTATCAGCTACAGTTCTCGGAAATGACGTGTGTGAGTTTTTACTCTGGGACCCAGTGGGATGGCAGCCCAGCTCTTTAAATGTATATGCCAAGACAAGGCTTTGTGAGAATGAACTGTAGCCCCAACTGTAGCCCCTTCTAACTCTATGACAATTGAATTAATCTCCTGCTCCCACATATTCCAACTGTAAAATTAAAATAGCTGTTTGAAACCCGGGACTTGTACAGGGACGCTTGGCTCAATCTGAGAGGAGGGGACTGGACCTGCCTGGACTAAGTCTATGAGGTCTATCTCAGTCTTCGAGGGTGGCCTTGATCTGGAGGTGGTGGGAATGGGGAGTGGGCTGGGGGCAAGGGGAGGGGGGCAGGAAGTGGGAGAACAAGGGAATCTGTGGCTGTTATGTAGAACTGAATAGTATTGTAAAATAAAATAAATAAATAAATTAAAAAAAAAAGTTACTCCCTCTGCCCCTGTCTGGCCACCATTAGATAAGCAAATAATTCTTAAGGCCAATTCCTCTTTCTTTCTTTCTTTCTTTCTTTCTTTCTTTCTTTCTTTCTTTCTTTCTTTCTTTCTTTCTTTCTTTCTTTCTTTCCTTCTTTCCATTTTTGCTAGTTAGTTTTTTATTATTAACAAACTTCCTATTCATTTTACATACCAGCCACAGGTGCCCCTTCTTTCCCTCCTGCCGCCCTCAACCTTCTCCCAATCCTTCCCCCCATCCCCACCTCCTCCAAGGCAAGGCCTCCCCTGGGGAGTCAGCAGAAGGGCCAATTTCCTTGCTTTTCAAACTTAAGACCTCAGATAACTGGACACATCAGCTCCTGTTTCTGGGGCCTAACATAGGAGTTTTGTCTTAGGGAAGGTCTGCCCAGAAGGACCTGTGAATAGAATTCGGTAAGTGCGAAAGATGATGGGGAAAATGCCTTTAAATGCGATTTAACGTCCTGTTAATAGCACGGGGATGCGGACATCTTAGAGAGAGTTCCATTCTGGTATTGAGAGATCTCTTCATGAGTTAGAATTTTTAGAAATTATGTGAGTGAAACAATAAATCAGAGTCCAGTGAATGTGCCTACACATTACGTGCAGTAAAAAGTCAAAGGCCATCCCAGTACTTCCTTCTTTAAGTTGAGCCAGCCACAGCTATCCCAGACAGTGTCTTTATAAAGTGAATTTACCTTTGCTTGCATTTCATATGTGTTAGATTTGGGAGTCATTCATTAATAAACACAGAGATTACTGTATTGGGTAATTTTATCATCATTATTAAAAATGGTAGTTTCTCATGTAATGAAGTGTACGTTTTGCTCTTAGAAGAAGTTTTCTGTTAAGTAAATTATAGACTTTATGAGATCTGGAAAATGGTCTGTTGCACAAAGATGCTGAAGATTGTGGTTCACCACAAGTTCTCTCTAGTCCTAAAGAACGATCTGGTCCTTATGTTCAAGCTTATAATCACAGGTATATGCTATTCTGTTTTAATTCTAAAATGAAAAAATGTTAGCCCCAGACTAAATGTTGTTAAGTGTTCAGTTGAAAAACATTGTAATTACTATAAAAAAGAGAGATTTTCAATCATAAAAAGAAATATATTCCTCACAAGTTTTAGAATATAAATATACTTTATAGTTATAGTCATATGTTGAGCCTCTCTCACACCCCACCTCAGAAAGCTCTAAATGAAAATAAATGGCTGGGTGGGCTGGAGAGATGGCTCAGTGGTAAAGAGCTTTTCGATCCAGGCTCAGTTTTCAGCACCCACACGGCAGCTCACAAACACCTGAGACCTCAGTTTCAGGGTATCTAGCTTCCTCTTCTGGCCTCTACAGGCACCAGGCACATTCATGGTACATAAAACACTCATGCACATAAAAAAAAAATCTTTAAAAATTGTTTGGGGCAGGATGGGATGGCTATAGTCTATATCTATAATCCCGATACGTGAAAATCTGATGCAGGAGGATCAGGGAAGCCACCTACTTTGAGCTCATAATGAGTTTGAGGCTAGCCAGAGCAAAATAATGAGGCTGCTCAAAACAGATGAAATTTCTTTTTACACAAATCTTGGTTGAAAAAAAATTACTGTTTAAGGTATTTTTACCTCTTTTGCTTCTCCTTGGGTGGGCCTTTTTTTTTTTTATAAGTTCACTCTTTTGTATTAGAAGCATGATTCATAAAATCAAAAATTTATTCACTATAATATCACATGTCATTTTGTTGAGCTTAACACAATTATTACATTAACTTTTTAAGGGTGCAAATAGACTTTTGTTGTTTGTCATGACCAGAAACTATCTTTATTACAGAAGTCTTTTTTGTATTCCTTGTACAAACATTTTCCTCAATGTCATCTGTGATTATGACTAACAAAACACAAATTTCAAAACTATGAATCAACCTCCATCCTGCACCCACATTAACAAGCATAGTTCATGTTCTTGTAAACAGAAAAAAATTGATAAAGGCCTTGGTATATGTTTGCAACATGTCCAAGAGTCTTTCTTTAATCAGGATGAGGCTATTTCTTGATTATATTTTAATGAATGGTCTTCTCCTGGTACTATTTTGTTTCTTATTTGATCATTGTTCTTGAGATCTCGCTTGAATTAAGAAAGGCATGCTGTAGGGAAGTGTAGCATAATGCTGTGTTCTATCTTCAGGTTGTTCAGTGTATAGAGCTGGGAACCCCCTTCTGTATACCCTGGGGATTTGATCTTGTCAGATCAGGAGGCAGAGGAAGGCCAAGAGGAAAGCAGGCTCAGCTTGGGGTATTACTGGAGAAGAACCAGGTCACCCATGTTTTCTTCTTACCTTTGCTCTAACCTATGGCTATGGTTTCAGGATGTTCTTATGAAAACCCTGTTCTCAAAAGCCCTTATCAAAATCCAGTCATGCTTAGGACCCTGGAGGAAACACTACCCAGTTTTCCTCCTCTTTCTTTCTTGCTCTTTTACTTCCTAGACTCCTCTGGACTGGGTTTTCTTCATCTGTAAAATTGGAATTATCACCTGCTACAAGTTCTTAACATTGTTCTGAGATTCAGGTAACAAAACATATATGAGGATTTTTTTTTATTATTTTTTATCATGCAGTATTAACGTAAAAGATGAATTTAATCCTATTTATAACTCAGGAATCAGTTTTTGACTTGGAGTCACTGTCCCATGTATCTACTTACCACCAAACATTCTCTATATTCTGTCTCAAGTCCAAGTTTCACAGTGATCTCCTCGCCTGACATTGCAGATTTTGGAACGTCTAAATAAAATTTAAGTGGTTTTCGAATACTTCTAGGAAGAGAAAAACAGAGCACAGAGATCAGAGACCTGCACACGAAAAAAGCATCAAGCTGGAAGGAGGCATGGGAACAGAGCAAAGGTGGGAGTTATATAGCTTGAACCAACTGTTGAGCATCAAAATCCTCAGGAATCTTTGTGCGTTGGCTGGTTTGAATGTTTACCTTTGTTTAATTAAGCAACAGATATATTGTTTAAAATGGAGCATCTTTTTTTCCAGTTTCAAATAACAAATTTTAAAGTAGAAAACTATCTACAGTCACATGCCATTTCCTAACAACTTACAGCAGTAGTTCTCAACCTGTGAGCCATGATCCCCTTGAGGAGTTGAATGACCCTTTCACAGGAGTCACGCAAGACTATCAGAAACCCCAGGTATTTACATCACAGTTCATAACAGTAGTAAAATTACAGTTATGAAGAGGCAACAAAAATAATTTTACAGTTGTGGGGGGAGGGTCACCAACACATAAGGAGCTGTACTAAAGGGCTATAGCATTAGGAAGATTGAGAACCACTGCCACACAGTTTATTAGCTCCTTGTCTACTGAATGGAATGAAAGAGTCAAGTCATCCTTAGGAGAGAACTTTATATCCACAGAATCATGTAAACAGCTCCACACTGGAGGAGTTCATAGATCTTCCTTGAAGATCTTCCTTTATGATTTCTGAATATAGCCTAAGAATGTATATCTATTTAGGTTTACAGGAAATCTGTACATATTATAATTGTGAACACACCACAGCTGAGAAAAAGAACCTGAGATGAGGCAAAGAGGCAAGTGTTCCTCTCTAGTCAACAAAGGCTGTTCAGGGCCAAGGGGATTGCTTCTTCTTTATAAAGAAACTTGGCTAAGGTCCTTTGCTAGTGAGTGGGGTAGAAAAGAATTCTTAAACAGCATTATTCATAGCTCCATTTCCTAGGGCAAAACATGTTACATTTTAATTCTTGTACCAACTGCTCTAGGACTCCTTCCTAGGAAAGATACATGAAGACCAGGTTTCTGTTTTGTGAATGAGTTTAGGGTTGGTAGCTATAGCAATTAACCATGCCAGTTTTTTCTTAGGATAAGGGTTCCATACAAGGTAGGTATTTAGTAATAAACAGGAGAGCTTTTGGCCAGCTGTGCTGTCCTAGTCACCTTAATCGTAAAGCTTATTTCAACAGGGGCTTTCCCCTGGCCCGGGAAGAAAGCCATCTGAACTGGAACTTCAGGGCTTCTCAGGAGGCTTACATAAGAGCTACTTAAAACCTTGACATTTCCACTAGGTTCATATATTTGGCCAAGTTTCCCAGAGCACCCAAAGGCTCATAATCTATAAAGCCAGCACCCTAGGCTGCTGCAAATGTAGAGATCTCCAGTTTAATTGGGTAACTCTGCTTCCCCACCCCCTACAGCATCTGGCTTCATTTCTTACTTCATTCTACTTCAACTTTTCTACTTTCTCCAAACATGGGGCTCAGTATGGAAGCTTCCAGGTCTCAGTGTGAGTGTTACTAATGGTCCTAGTGTTTATCTTCTGGTTTTATCGTAGGAATGATATCTACGATGCTTGTTTGGCTAGCTCAACCTGAGACTATGGGTCAGTGACAAAAGCTCTCATTTTCAGTGAGTCCTGCCAAAGGCATCTGAAGCAATTGCTAGAACTCACAGACTTTTTTTTTTTTTACCTTTTTGAGGTAAACTGAGTAAAATTCTGAACAGTAAGTAGATCAAAGAGAGTAAAACTAATTGTTTATGGAAAACTTATATACAGTGGGGGCTTTATTTCTTAGGCAAGCCTATACACCCAGAGGAAATGTGAAGGGAATGTATGAAGCCTACCAAGGGAATGGAACCTGCCATGAGGTCCATGCGAGCTTCCAAGGCTAGAGATCTTTGCAGTCTAAAAAATCTACAGAAAAGTGTATGCAGGCTTCCAGGTCAGGAGGAGAACCCCCTGTATGGCTTTCCTGCGAAAGAAAAGAAGGGTTTGACTCACGTGCTATCCTGAGCCTTGCTGATTCCCAGCTGCAGGCATAGGACCAGGAAGAGGGTGGCGGCACTGAACCGGCGTGAGAGGCTGTGCATGGTGGAGAAAACAGGACACCAGAGCAATAGGGTCATTGATGCGCAGCACAGGTTTTATATACAGATCAAGGAAGCAGAAAAGCTGGCAGGTAGGTCCATGAAGTGAATCACTTAATCATTCGCTGTACTCACGGTCCTTCCTTGTTGAGGAGAAGTTTGTTTTTTCTATGGAATAAATATCATCATTTAATTAAATTGTTGGAATATACACGATTGAACTTCCTTGTTTTCTCCACATCAGAGATCTTTAAAGGCTCTTTCTTGGCTTACAGGCATGTTTTTCTTCTTTCTCATTTACCTCTCTGTCCTGTTCCTTACCTTAAGTCACTGCTGATTTGGTCTTGGCAGGCAGTGAACATTTGGGGTGGCAGGTCCCAAGCCATAGCTGTACAACGCATTCACTTGATGATTTTGTAGTTAATTCAAAGGGAGAGGCCACTAAAAAGATGTCTTAGATTTCTAATATGATCAGGCATAGTTACCCAGAAGCTACTACCAGTCACATAGCTGAGAGAACTAGGGAAGGGCTGAGTTCTCTGGATGATGGAGAAGTGTAACCATAGTACCTGATGACATGGTGATGTTTGTGATTATTAAGCCCTTCTGTGCTTCAGGAGCAATGGTAAGCTTTCCAGATGCTTCAAGTTTCTAGGATAGAATGATGCTTTCATTGTACAGAAGTCATTTACATAGTTACACCCCCAAATCAGACCGTACAGTATTCAAATGACCAGTCACTTCCCACACTTGTTTTATGGTAGAAGGCATGTAGGAAGACCATGATAAGGACTACCTTCATTGTACCAGAACCTGAACTATACAGAGACATTCTGGCACATGAATTTCTCCCCATGGAATGGCAGGAGACTCACTCTTCCTTACATATCTCCAATGTCTTTACTAACTCAAAGCTATTGTTTAACCTAAAATTTTTTCTTAAGAGATTTTTTTTTCATCTGTTGAATGACAAGAGCCCAGGATGATCCTCTGGGGTATGAACATGGAAGTCATCTATCTAAGACTAATCTACGTATTCTACAATGGCGAGTGTTGAGAAATTAAAGTCTAGCTGTATGCTCACAGTGGATGAATTTTTTAAATTCCCCTGACTGCTTGTTTACTCTTGTGCTAACCTCTTCATTCTCTGAAGCTGGACAGCAATAATTCCTCACTTGACTTGTAGTTGCAACCACATACTTTCTTCTCTGTCTCAAGAGTGATGGTTTTATTCTACCTTGACCCAGTCTCAGTGACCCTCCTTCATAAATAACGTTTCAGGTTTTAACTTTCTTTACAACAAATTATTTTCTTGTTTACTTGAGTAAGCTCTACCAGAGGATCATCATAGCTAATATTAGCCAAGGAAATGGGCCAAAGAATCTAGACCATGCCCACATAGGAAATCTAGAAATAGCTTTTTGCTGCATCATAACCCTCTTCAAAGGTACATCTCTATCCTTAAGTGTATATTTGTGGCACCTTTGATAAACTATGGATCAGGAAAGATGGATGGAAATGAATTCAGAGCATCTATAGCGGGCAAAGAGATCATTTTATAAACCAACAGAGACTTATGACATTCATAGCCCTTTAAAATATGTAACAAAAAGTAATGGCCATATTAGCATTGGCTGGTGTGATTATTTTATGAGTCTATTTGACTAAGCACAGTACTCAGTAATATAGACTTTGCTTTGAAGGCATTAAAAAAATGTGAATTGACCACCATCAAAATTTCAGTAGATATTCCCTTCTATAATGTGGGTACACTTCATCTTGTTCATTCAAAGTGTTATGAGAAAAGATTGGGTCCCTCTGAGGAAAACAAATTCTTTGCAGATCATCTTCAATTGAAGCTGTATTGGTGTTCCCATGCCCCCAGTGCCTGTCCATCCTGCAGAGTTTACGTAGGCCAATCCTACAATGGTTGAACCACTTTTCACTCTCCTCTCTCCCCTTCCTCTTTATTGTATTCTCCTCTCCTATCTCTCTTCTTTTTCCTCCTTATTTCTCCTCTCCTCCCCTCCCCTCTTATCCCCTGTCCTCTGTATTCTGTTCCTCTGGATGGTTCTAACACAGGTGGTGCTGGTATTTTGGAAAAGACACTAAGAAGGAGAACACTTGCTTAAGTATTTGGGCGAAATTAGGATCTAAATCCATGATCAATTTCAGATAGGAACAGAAAACAATGAAGGAGATACATCTCTTAGGCTCGCTGCATTGAATGCCATTATTGTCAGGCTTCAGTCTGTTTCCACTTCATTTTAATCCTTAAAGAACTCTTGCATAAAACAGAAAACTGCTTATTAAATATAATTTTGAGAGGGACTATAGAGTCTAGTTTAGCTTTGTATTAGATTAAAAATTCAGAATTAAGGAAGTGGTGGTATGTGACTTTAATCCCAGCACTGGAGAGGCAGAGGCAGGTAGATCTCTGAGTTTGAGGCCAGCCTGGGCTACAGAGTGAGTTCCACAACAGCCAGGGCTACAACAGAGAAATCCTGTCTCAAAAAAAAAAAATCAGGACTATATGGCCACATGTTTGTCAAGGGTGTCATGTCAATCCGTCATGGCTACAAAACAAAGCAACACAGTAAGATTATTTATGGTTCATCAGTAATTCCATAACTCCCCCATTTCACCCAATAATCCTACCTAAATGTTTGGTTAGAGGGTTCCTGGGTGTTTTAGCTTGATTTAAAGGTTGACAAACATTAGTTAAATATTCTGACTTCAGCAGCAATGGGGTTTGTCCTGGAAACTGACCTTGCTTGTGCACCAATGAACCCCACACAGCGAGCATTAGATTACGTTTCCTCAGTTGCCACCCTAACTGCACTGTCAGGGATGGAGAAACAGAACCCTGCGCATGCTGCAGCAGGGTCTTTCCCTACTCATTTCCCCTGGATTTAGCTTACAATCAGAGAGCTGGTAAACCCATCTGCAAACCCCCCTGTGTATGTGTTCCATTTGTTCTTCAGCAGACAGAGTGTCCAGCTTCGTGGAGTCGAATGTATTTCAGAAGATCAATCTAATTCTTTGCCTTTTTTGAACTCCATTTCATTGTACTAATTCTTTCATAGTGAACATATAAAAGAATGGATTTAACTATGACATTTTGTATCCATATGTATCACTGTACTTTGCTCATATGCATTCCCCATTACTCTCTCTCTTGCTCTCTTCTCCCCTTCTAGTGGGTCTTTTTCATCCCCACAAATAATTCCCCTTTTGTTTTTTTTCTGTTTTTATAACACACACACACACTCACACATATACATGCTAAACAGCTTTTTTCAGTTCTATAGATGATATGTAACGACATTTTCAGAATATAATTTATGACAAAAGTTAATGATAATGCCATCCTCTTGCCAATATTATTTTTTCATTTTTCTTTATTAAGAAATTTTCTACTCACTCTACACACCACCTACAGACCCCACCTCCTCCCTCCTCCCATCCCCCAGTCCTCCCTCCTAAGCCACTCCACATCCTCACATCCCCCAAATCAAGGTCTCCCATGGGGAGTCATCTTACCAATATTATTGTTGAGAAGCCCTGTCTGGCAGATAGCTCTTAGTGGGCAAGTATGAACCAAACTTGTCATGCTATAAGCCACGAACGGCCCAATAGGTTTAAGAAACTAAGTAGATCTAACAAACAGATAAAAACCAGACTATAAATGACTCAAGAGGCTTCTAGGAGGGATGCACACTGGCACAAAGGGAAGGAATGAAGGACTAAGGTGAAGCTTGTCTCAGGCTAAATTTACAAAGCAAAAGGTAACATTAAATCCAATGGGGCCATGAGGAACCAGATAAAGATTGGCTCCCAGAGGGAATTACAGAAGGCAGCACACATGAAAATTGGGTGTAGGCATGACAATGTTCTAAACATTCTCTATGAAGTCTCTCACTACATCCTAGTAGCAATATTATGTAGAAGGTTTCTATTTTTATTGCACTTTACAAATGAGCTACCCGAAGCACAAGAAAGGCAAATTCCCAGCACAATTTATAAGACAGTAACTAAAGGAGCTGAATTTGGGGTCAGGTTTTGTGCAATCTAAAACTTTTCATTGACAATACTAAGCAGGCTCTTTCAGAGGCAGGATACAAACTGACAAATATAAAATATAGAGGATGTTGAAAGAAGCACCAGCAAGTGAGGAACCTTGAAGTTTCACATTAACTCAGAGTAATACACATTGTGAATGGTGTCAGATGTTGAACTCAGGAAATCTGACTCCACAGCTGGAGTGTTGACTCACTACATTGCCTGTTCATGAGAATGAGCTCCAGTGTTTGTTACTGGAAAAACTGGGCTTCAAGATCACTAGTCTCATACCAGAGTCCATGTCCTTATAGTATTTGCCTATCTTGTTCTTGATGAAGCAATATATGTATATATATATATACACACACACACACAAATAATTTTATCACATGTATTTATTTTCTCTCCTCCTTCCCTCCCTCCCTTCCTCTTCCCCCCTCTCCTTCCCTCCTTCACTCTCTCCCTCCCCTCTCTTTTTTCTGGCTGTGCCTGTGATAATGTGTACATGATGGTTAGCGGGCAACTTGTGGGTGATAGTCTGTTCTCTCCTTCCATCATGTGGATCCTGGAGATTGCACACAGGTCCTCAGATTTGGTAGCGAGACCCCTTTACCTGTTGAGTTGTCTCACCAGCCTTTGCAATAATACATAAGTTGAGAAAGGGATATTGGATTTTCTGATGCCTGCTTATAACCCCAGGATCTGAGAGGTGGAGACAGGAGAATAAGGAGTTCAAGGTCATCCTTAGCCATGTAGTGAGTTCAAGGCCAGGCTATGCTCCATGAGACCCTGTCTCAAAAACAAATAAATGAATATATAAAGTTTAGAAAGGGAAACTCACACAGGTTTTAATAACTTGTTCATATCACCCAGCCAAAAGTAACAAGGGTTCTATTGAAGCCTGTGTAGAAGTGAATCCGGATTTGGCACTTACACTCTTG